AGAAAGCCAAGAGAAGTGTCTTTTATTGCATCGGTAATCGTAATCCTTTCCACGTTTCCAACGAATCTCCTGGGAACGTCGGGCGTTCCGAGCACCCATGGGTGCATTTAATAAATTCTGTAGCTCTATAATCTTCGAAACTTTCGCACCATCTTTAACTCTCTCTTGCTTCACCAAATTCCCATAGAATCTTTATTAAATCTTGCACTACTACTCCCACCTCATCTTCACCAACTTGCCTCGAAATCTACAGCACCCATGGGTGCACCCATTAATATCCCCCACGAAAGTCATTTAAATACCATTTAAAATATCTCCCGAATCATCTTCAACTTTTACTCCACTATCACCGCTACTACAACTTCCACATCTTCGTCAAATCCCCCGAGAATCTACAGCACCCATGGGTGCCTCCAATCATTTCCCCCACCACTTTCCATTCTCGCAAAATCCAAACAACGTTGTACCATTTGAAATCTCGCCTGAGTCACGTTCGACTTCCCAACTCAGCGATGTTTCACCAATGAGGAACGATAAGCAATCAGTTTCACCGACTTTGATTAACCACCGGAACAAGCAGCGACGAATTCCAACGGGCGCAGAGAGAAAGAAAGAAAGAAACGAATAGCATTCCGTGAACCCATCCGATCGGCATGCAATTATGCGGGAGAGACAGGTCGGCGTACAATGTCTCATAACTCAGGAAGGGAGGTGACTTCCTTATGACTCCATTGTGCCGCGTCCTTGCGACGATGAAACGTTCTCCGGTGGTCGATGCGAGTTCCCGCTCGCGAGGAAGGATGGCCTCGATGATGTGTGTCTTACCCTTCGGGACCGATCCCTCCACCTAGCGGTGTTTACACGTGTCGGCACAGCCAGAAAGGAACTCGTTCTCCTCGTGCAAACGACTGTGCATTACCGGGCCTGGGTATCACGGGTTACACGCGCGTGGGACGCTCGAGGGGAGCCTTTTTTCCGCTTCGTGCGCGCCGGAATATCCTGTACGTGGTCGGGACACGTGGGTGTCGTGCCCACCTTATTCTTCCGCGGTGTTTGCACACTCGCGTGTTCCACTCTCGGCGTCTTTTGCCTGATGAATTTCTTTGCGCGGTCGAGCCGCTGTTGCTGGGAAATTTTCCGGATTTCTGGGTAACACGTTTGCGCTGAAATACGGGGGACACGATTTCTTTTTTTAAATTCGTCGAGTTTCTTTTAGGATTGCAATTGTTTAATTTTACAATAGTTTCACCTGTGCTGAAAGTTTCTTTGGTCATTCGACGGTACTTGTTCTTTCGTTGAAGCGCAGGATGGATGTTAACGAAGGAAACGCGAAACAAGTCGTAACGCCAATTGACGTCGTCCGCATATATTTAAGCGAGCGAAACCACCAAATGGCGTCATCCGCAGGGAATGTGTTAACACGGTTGAACTGTGGTGCTTTGACATTTTTTTTTTTTTAAGTAAAATTTGTTACGGTTGAATATGGAGATTTTTTACATTTGAAAATTGCAAGGGCAGAGTAAAATTGATACCAAAAAATGAACGGTAATTCGAACAGAAACTTTTCGAGGTACGATAAAACGACGAGGAATACGAAAGGAGAAATGTTTGAAAAATATGTATCTTTTTTGTCGTTTGAATTATTTGCATTTGCGGTATCGTGCACAAAAAGATAATAAGCTTGACTAATCAGTTGCGAAAGACGTGTAAGTACGCCTTCAGGAAATTGCTGCATGCATACGAAATGCGTTCGGTAAATTCAGATCGGTGTGTGTAATAGGTATATACTTTTTACGAAACATACAATTTTGTATACATACCGATTGAGAATTTTCAACAGGTGATTTTATCGCGGATAATTAGACGAAGGATTGTGTACTTCAATCGGAGAATAAATTACGAGCGAATGATTCACGAGGTATTAAAACAATGCACGTTGTATTTCGTAACATTGATAATCAAAAGAGTGGCGAGCTTTAAATAACTGCAGGAATGTTTGTCACCGACCGAAATGTTTAATATTCGCACGTGCATAGTGCGGTTGATCGATCCCCCCCATCCTCTGACGCGGTAAACTCGCGTTGATCTTGATTACTCGGTTATTGGTGTTATCGCAATTTCCGTTCCACCGAAGGCCGATTGTTGAAGCGTCCGCCAAGACGCTAATAACGCATTACGTTCTCTTTCATTGGCAGCGATGGAAGCAAAGTTACCCAAGAACCGGTTGTTACATCAATCTGGATTGACAGAGCATTCGAAACGATACGGAACACCGATGCATTCCAAATTTCGATTAAACGTACGTTCGGTTAAAGAATAATTTGGATAATCGGTCCGATGATCGATACGTCGAGTGTCACACGAAGTGTGTTGACTTCCTCGTTTCTTAGGGCGTTCACATTTCAGCGATACTTTCCTCATCTGAGGACAGAAGTCCTCTCGTTTCAGTCGGATGATTACTGTAGATAGTCAAATTGTGACAGTGAAATTTCAATTCTCGAATATCCATAGATGAACTTTACATTCGAAAATTGTGACAGAGAAGTTTCAATTGTTAACTGTCCATAAATGAAGTTTTCATTCAGAAATTGTGACAGTGAAATTTCAATTGTTGAGTGAGTATCCTTAGATGAAGTTTCCATTCAAAAATTGTGACAGTGAAATTTCAGTTGTTGAGTGAGTATCCTTAGATGAAGTTTCCATTGAAAAATTGTGACAGTGAAATTTCAATTCTCGAATATCCATAGATGAACTTTACATTCGAAAATTGCAGAAAATGCAATCTCTCGTTTCAGTCGGATGATTACTGTAGATAGTCAAATTGTGACAGTGAAATTTCAATTGTTGAGTGTCCATGAAGCAAGTTTTTATTCACAAATTTTGGCAGTGAAATTTCAACTGTCGATGATCCGTAGATGAAGTTTTCATTTAAAAATTGTGACAGTGAAATTTCAATTCTCGAATATCCATAGATGAACTTTACATTCGAAAATTGTGACAGAGAAGTTTCAATTGTTAACTGTCCATAAATGAAGTTTTCATTCAAAAATTGTGACTGTGAAATTTCAATTGTTGAGTGAGTATCCTTAGATGAAGTTTCCATTCAAAAATTGTGACAGTGAAATTTCAATTGTTGAGTGAGTATCCTTAGATGAAGTTTCCATTGAAAAATTGTGACAGTGAAATTTCAATTCTCGAGTATTCATTCAAAAATTGATCGCTCGAATGTTGAAAAATTCCACCGTTCAACGTTGAACGTTCATCTTCGAACGCTTCATTCTCTCAACTTGTTGGTCCTCCCTCGTATCCAGGGTAAAAAACGAACGAGTCCTGAACCGGAGCAATTCCTCGTCCACGAGTTCATAATTCCTGCCTCGAAGCACAAGGTCCGATTGGTTACGCAAGCCCGGCAGGCGTTCGGTCCGCATCGTTGCGACTGCAGGGACTCCTGCTGCAGTTTATAGTCCCGTCCCCACTCTGAGCGCTCTCCTCGAGGTTGCAGCACTCCAGTCTCTTCCTCAGTGTCCGCGACGTGAACCGCCACGACAATATTTGCGGGAATTGCGAAGATAACTGCAGCGATAAAGAGGATCACGGGTCTCCGTCGTTGGTAACCACAGCGGCGCGTTTCGACGTCGTGGCTCATCTCGAAGATCCACCGTAGGAAGATGAATAATATTCCCACTCGAGGGTATTGAAATTCTGTAATAGAGAAATTTCCAGTGATTTACGACGAAGAAGTTCGAGATTCCCGAGCATTTTGATAGAGCTGCGGATGATTTACCGAGAGGACATTTGTAATACTTTACGAGGCACTTAAACAAGTGTTAAACATCCAAACTAGCTAATACAGAAATCAACTCAGATACAGAAAATTCGCAAGAAGAAAATTTCAAAAAATTCACTAAAAGACATCTTTTATGATTCACAAGAATCTCTACGAAAACGGTTCCTCAAGAGACACACAGCCTCCCTCACAGTACGATACAATCTCCACCAAAAGAATTCGTAACAATTCTCTTTCACAAACATCAAGTTCACCCAGTGAGTTCAGTTGAACTCGACACGGTGTTTCCAAGGGGAAAACGTTGAAACGCAAGAAAGTCGAGAAGGAGGAAGAGGGCTCGCGGCGATCTGCATTCACAACGAAGTGATCCACGACAAAGAGGTCGTTCGAGCGAGGAGGGCCGCGTGTACCAGGGGAACGGCACATGCGACACACGGTCTAGCTTCGTGTTCCGCGCGATCTCCGCGCGGCCAGCCAGTTGCGGTACGCGCATACGTGTAAGCGCACGTTCGTCGCGTTGAGTGGCCTCTCTCGAAACCGGGAACATTTGCCAATATTTCCACATACTGAAATCATTCCTTGTCGTTCCATCGTGAGTCACAAAAACGTGTGAACAATGTTCTCCACAGTTGACAATGATCACGACAAGAGTGCCCGTTGATCGTCAGACAGGAAAGTTAGACGGTGACTGTGCACGATTAACCTGTGTCAGTGGAATTGGCTACGTTTGATTGAATTACGCTTGTTCGGTGTCCCCGCGACGACACTCGAGCCTACTGTGCGTTCTCTTTTACTAGTGGGAGCAGCGTTTCTGCGCTAATTAAATTGCGTTCGAAAGGAAGTGGAGGTATTAAAATCGAAGTCCTTGCAAAGGACGATTTCGATTCGATTAGATCGATCCGCGTGTCGAATAGGAGGAACGGAATCGCGACTTCCACTCGTAAAAGTTTTATTGTCACTCGAGAGGAGGAACGCACGGTCTGTAAGGAGGGATAAAAGTGGAGGTATCTACGAGATCGTCGGATCTATCTCTCTCTGGGAGCGATGGATAAATATTTACGAGGAATATCGTTGACTCGCGAGAGTGCAAGCGAGCTCTGAGGTTGGATCGTGCGCGCCACCGTCCAATGCTTGCCAGTCTTACTACGTGGATACGTGTGAGAGCACGTATCGCGCGGTTCCGTCCTCGGGTTCGTGAGAAACCGCGCGGATTCGCGTGTTTTCGCGTGCCAGCGGGAAATTAAACGACACGTCGATTACTCATCGTTCCAACGACCAAGGTGTTTCGTGGAATTTATCGTCGATTCTTTCGCGGAGATTCACTCTGACGAAGTTAGTCTTCCTTTCTTTCGTTTTCTTCGCGAAGAAAAGATTGGAAATTATTTTTCTCTTTTCTAAACACATATCTCGTGACGTTGCGTGAAAACGTTTTTGTCACTTCTTGCAGATATTAAACGGGTAGCATAATGTAATCTGTCAGACGGTAGAATGGTGATTACGTCGACTAATCTCGCTTCAACCTCCTCCTCCTCTTCTTCGCCTTCTTCGTTTTCCATCGTCAAGTACTTCAATCTTCGTGTAAACCAGTTGACTTGCAGATCCACGCTGATTAAGCGTTTCTTTCGCAATTTATTGGACGAACCACCGGCAGCTTGCGTATTCTCCAGTTGCTGTTTCTTTGCTTTTTCATTGCAGCGACACCCTGTGTACGTCGTCACGGTCGTGACACTGAGGACGCGCGCGAATTGTCGATGATTGCCGGACACGCGTGGGCGGTAATCTCGAAATTACGGCTAAATCGAACGCGTCGCAGACACTGTACCAGACGTTGGTTCGTTCCAAGCGGTGTCAGATTTTCAAACGTTCCAAGAGAGATACAGAGACGAGAGTAGAAGTATTTAGAAGACGGTCAAAGTGGACGAAGAAGAAGTGAGCCAAGAAGTTTTAATTAGGACAAACTTTGAGCGCCGGTAGATTGTCCCGAATTCGGCGAACATTCTGAGGGAAGAAACTTCGATAGCAGAGACAAAGCAGAAAATTAAATTCAACAACGGGAGAATTCAAGAGCTGCGCGGATTTTCGTCACGACGAAAAAAGAAAAATGAAATTTCTACAATTTTCAGTTGCGAGGTAGCTTCTCGTGTCTGAGGTAGCTTCCACGGCGAATGTTTATTCTCCTCACAGCGTGTGCAGATGTTTGCCACGTTACGAAACTCTCGATTGTTCCGCCGTCGATTTCGTAACGGATCGACGACGCGGAATAAAAGTTGGCTGGTGCTGCTGGTGGCTCGTTAAAAAGGCCGCGATATTGTTTTATCGGCGAGTATGGCTGCGCCACGGTGGCACGATAACACCGTGAGAAACGCTGTGACACACGTACATATGTACGGTACCTCACAGGTGTGCGAAGCCACGAAGCGCGTTTCACGGAAAGTCAGCTAGGCGTTGATCAGTCGCGAGTTGGAAGTTAGAGAATCCTCTGGTAACCTGAATTTCTTGCAGCCCTGGTGGAAGGGGGAACAAAGCAGCTGTCTTCGTGAACAAACGGCGTCCAACGGTTAAATTAGAGCCGTACACGAGATCTCGCGAGCTTTTGCCGCCGGTTTAATCTCGATCTGAGCCGAGCGAGAGGTCGTTTATCCTCCCTCGAGCTATGCGGCCGAGAGATGTCCGGCTTCGTTCTCACGTGGATCCTCCTTCTCTCCCCCCCCTTGTATTCCGCGGTTTAGAACGTGCACACGCGGCCGCTAGAGGACGAGGCGAGGAATGCTTGTCTGTGGATATTATGGGTTCACTTTCAACCCTTCTTCCCTTGGAACCGTGAATTTCGAGAGAAATTCTCTGTCTCTCGCAGAGAAGCCTGACGGTGAAACTGGATACGAGAAAATTCGAGGCGGAGGATGGAGAATCCTACGGTCGAGAAATTTGTTTCTTTGAAAAACCGTGATTGGTGACTAGTTGGCGAATTTTTTTATTCGTCTCTCAGTGAAATTTTGAAGTTACTCTGTGTCATAATTTACGACTCTTATCACTTTGATTTTCTGGAATGGTGTGGTATCGGAAAATTTCCTCATTTGTCTACTGAGAAATTAATTCTTCCCGCTATAGATCATCTAGCTACCTAAACATTTCACGATGAAAGGAATACTTCTGTGAGACTCCTAACAAAAAAAAAGAAAGAGTAAAATAGCTACTAAAGAGTTGACCGCAAATTGCCTTCATAAATACAAGTTGCACAAAGTAAAGCTACAAGCAGAATGCCATTGCCAGGACGAAACTCCTTCCGCGGCGCCATAATATCGAAGTGTCTGACCAGGCCTGGTAGTTTCCCCTCGAAGTACGATTCGCCGAGCAATGAGAAATTCCACGAATTCCATCGCGGATTTCTTTCGTTCCAACGTGTGCGGCTGAACCTTTGAACCTTTTATTCGCCCGTGCTTACGTACAGATTATCGCTGAATTTACTCGACAGATTAACGACGCTGACAAAAAGAAGAGAGAGAGAGAGAAGAGTATCGATAAGAATCTCGCCAAGGTAGGAATCGGTCAGCGCAAAAGTCGTGAGAACCACGATCACACCGATTTCTCCGGTGTCACTGAGAAACCATACACGTTTTACACGCCCGCCACCGGTATCAATGGCTAGCCGATCGAAATCCAGTACCGGTCTGAAATACGAAACGCCACCGACGGAAGTACCGGTCTAAGGGGAAGAGAGAAGAGAAGGAGAAAAAAGAGGTGCAGGAAGGAGAGCTGGTAATTTCGCGTGGGTGTTGGTACCAGTTACGTTCGAAGGCTGACAGGGTCTCCATACGATCGAACGCCTGGAATTCCCAGTCGAGGGATCGATCCAATTTAATTAAACTCTCGCTCGAATTCCCGAACACCTTTTCGTCTCTCTGCTTCGACCACAATCGACGTCATGTTCCAACAACGCGTGTAATTCCTCGCCAAGTCTCGTCTCTTCGATTTCTTTTCGTTCGAGGAGAAATTCTGATATGATTGGCGAAGGAATTCAGGAATACACGAATGATTTCTTTTCCTTGGAAGAATGATAATTGAGATACTTAAAAGAACGAGCAGCAGATAAAGAGAAATGTATTAAGTTGATGGAAGATGGGAACGACCGACTCAAAGTTCAAGCTTTTCAAATTTCACGACTTAATGCTCACGACTGACTTCCGTCGAATCTCGTGGCCCCCTCGCACATAATTCGAAGGCCAGTAGGCCTGACGACTCATCCCTTAAAGACGTCACGTCGCTAAAAATAATTTTTCCTGGGGATCAATGAGTCTACTCGCATTTTCTCCATCTTTCCATAGCCCCCCCCCCCCCCTTCTTCCTTATCGATTCTACACTATTTCGCCGTCGATTCAGGATTCTTTTTACAGAAACACTTTTCGCTGTGATTAGAAATCTTAGCTCCGGACTCAGGTCACTTTATTCTCTTTCTTTTCACGCAAAAAGAACGCATACTTCAATTACCACGAAAAAATTTCCCCGATAATCAAGAGCGAAGGAAAACAAAGGAAAGGTGTCGGAAGTTTCCCACAGAGAGAGAGGCAACACGCGAACCGATGTTCATCGGAGAACTCGCGAATCATCGAGTAACCCCTTGAACACAGCGCGCACTCCAGCCGAGCGAATTTATGCTTCGTCAGAGTGTTTTCATCGCGAGAGACCGTGGCGGGTAGAAAAAGCGGCCGCGAAAGAGGACACGCCGCGAATCGATATCGCTTTCGGGAAAGGACCTGCTGGCCTATCTGCGCGAAGTCACGCGAATTTAGGGCGTGGAATCGCGGACGAGGGAAAAGTTACGATGCAGTAGTACTACTGCACTACTGGCGAGCCTCCGATATAAACTCGGCAAGGCCGAGTTCTAATTCGACGTAGTTCGTGTTTCACCGGTTATTATGATTGGTCGCATCCGTCGATTTCATTTGCAGAATTCGTCCCGACAGCTTCGTTCCGAATGTAACCTAGAATTCCGCCGATACTCTCCGTTTAGTTGTCGAGTGTGAAAGAAAAACGAAGAAGAGAACAGAGGAGAATTAAAGGTGACGTGTGTGAGACCACCACCAGTTGGCAGAACGATGTCGACTCGAACGAAAAACGCAGACCGATCGTGCGATACGGGCATTAGCTTGCGACCTTCTGTCGCAGTTTGTGCGTCGCGTCATCGACTATTTGTGTGTCTAAAAAGACGTAGCAGATTCTGAGAGCGCGACGAGGGAGAAAGAGAGAGAGAGAGAGAGAGGAGAAAAGAAAGAGGAAGAGACGGAAGAGGAGAAACGCCATTCGCGAGTGTGTTTGTCTCGGCTCGAGAGATCGAGCAGACTGAATAATTCGGTCGACTTCTGAGCGAGTTCGATGCGAGGAATGCCCGCGGGATGAAGGCAAAGCTGTCACGAAAAGAATTGGACGATCTCTTCAGCGAGGTAAACGTTCCTAGGGAATTGTTACGATTTTTTTTCTCTCTTCCACGATTTCTTCTTTTTTTTTCTTCTATCTAGAAGAAGAAGGAGAAGAAGGTCCCTTTAGAGAGTAGAGCGGAGATAATTGAAAATTGCAGAGCTTACGTGCAAATTGAAAAAGGAAAATAGGTCGTGAGCTTTAAGCAAGCTAAAGACTTGAATTTATTCGTAATATAAATTGCAGCTTTTATGCGTTGGATTAATAGAATTGGAACCCCTGTAAGCCGCGTAATGCCACGTTAAGTGAAATAACTCATGTTTTCGTAGAGCCCCGGCTAGAAACGTCGGTTTAATTAACCTCTTAATAGTTTAGTGACGACGCGAGGATAGAGTGTACTCTGTATCCTAGAATACACTATTAAACGGCTAGTTACTATACGAGAAAGATGATAAAAAGTAGTAAAATAAATTCTTCAAATTTCTCATTTTTCGTACACCGTTGAAAAGTTGAGTTTCCAATTTCACTGTAAAAGAATTGCAAGTTCAATTATCGGAGTACTATCGCACAACGTTTGTGACGAGAGATAAGGGCTTAACACTCGAAGCAATTACTCCAAATACGATGGAACGATTAAGTTTCGAGGTTGATAGAATAAACTCGTACTTGATCCGCAATTTTCCAGATAGAGAACAACGATCCATCGCGGAGGGACACGTACACGCTTTAAAACCGAAGGAAGTATAACAGAAACCGTAAACCTATATAACTCGAGCCACTATATCATACACCCGAGGTCATTTGGTTTTTGCAGCTCGGCCATTAAGCCACGCTGCCGGCTTGCTACGTCATCGAAAGAATGCAAATTGATGTTTCAGCCGGGGAACAAGGCCGAGCGTTTTCGATAAATAATTTCCTTACATTCGTACCGTTTACAACGTTCTAAAGGCTGTTTTCCCAAAGGGGACCTGGTAAGAAGCGCCTAGGCTACAAGCTGCAGGATCATTTATCAATTTCAGCTTAAACGTCCCGTAATTACGTTCTATCCAATGAAACGCGTCGCTTGGGTAGTCCTCTCTCTCTCTCTCTCTCTCTCTCCATAAGCGATATTTTCCTATCAGGATCTTGTATCTATCTTTTTCGAGCGACACTCCCGGCTAATTGACTCGATATCTTCGGCACCGTTCTCTAATCTCTCTCGGTCAATTAATAATAATCGGGCACAATGTGTAACGTAAACTCGAAGGTGGTGATAAATCGATTAACCGTGATACTGATTTCCCTTAAAATTAATTAGGTAACCGGATAGTATCTGTCTCTTGTATCTCGGCAACGTGTCAACCATTCTCGGAAGAAAAGAAAGAGATAAAGAAAAAAAAAGAAACAAGAGAAAAATGATCATTCCACATTCTCACTCTTGTCCCTGTCCCTCTTTCGCGCTGCTAAAGCTACTCTCTAGCTTCGGTTTTCTTTTATCGACGTCGATGTCTGACCATTCAGATCACACTCTGAGATCAACCGTTATCTATCACGTAATTCCTGTTCGCGCAACACGACCACAAGGACGTACAGTACTTACGTATTATACACGGCGGAGAGAACACGACTCACGGAGTGACTTACGGGCAACACGGAAATTGATTGGACCGCATTGACGCCTGTATGCAAGCTACAAACGAGAAGCCCTATTCGTTCGTTCCTTTTTCCAAACGTTTTATCCGACGCCACGTCCGATCTCTGTTGTTGCCGGTTAAACGACGTCTACTTGCACCGGCATGGGATTAGAGACAATTAATTTTTTACCATCTCTACGTCGCGATATACGCTCGACGTACTCTCGGTGGCCGGAGCGTAGCTTTGACTAAGAGTGACTCGGCTGACTTGTTCCGTTTGATAAAAGTCGAACGAACGTGTAAAGGTACAATGGGGAACGTGTCTATCCTCTGTGTCGTTTTCTCTCTTCCAACGACACCGATCGAACCGATAAACGTAACGCGCCGGTTGTTTGCGAAGTGTCCCGTTGAAATAATTCTCGCGCGATCTTTGACAACGTTATCAACGAACCCGTGGTGACACCGTTAAATCGCGATTGCTCCTTTTGGCTGTGTTCCAACTGACGTGAAATCTTGCTCGATGCATTCTGTTGACCTATCGAAGATAATACACGTGTCCGTTATCAGAGGACGATCTAAAGTGTCTCTTTAATTATCGTCTGTTTGTTCCGCGGTTTCTATCGACGCTTATCGGAGACATGCAGTCTAAGATGCGACCCGTTCTTTCACGTCGTTTACGTAATTACACGTGTTTCCATCGGCTGTTACTTCCTTGTCGCTTAATTAAAACCACGCCTTTATTTACACGACGGGGCAATCGTGGCCGGTGTAAACGCGCTGTGTACCGTATATTCTGGTAAGCGACCCCCGCGATCCACGGGATCGATACCGGACACACGGTTCAAACCTATCTGTCGATCTCGATCGTGCTGGATCACCTCGTGGCACGGTACGGTGTGTACCGCGGGACCACGGAACCTCGATCCTCGGTTATCCGTTACCCTCTAATTCGTACGTTTGTCTGCGCACGTTTCGCCGTATTACCTCCAAGAAGATAAACGTAACGCGTTCGCGGAACATTGTCGAGCCGCACGGGCTGAGGAACGATTGATTCTGTGTGCGATCGAGCTGGAGAGCGTGTGATCTATCTGGAGGATTGTAGAAATTTGTTTACTTATTTTTGTGCAAAATAATGTATACTGAAATCAGGTGAAATGCTGATAGTTAGAGACAAAAAGAAAAGTAAAGTACAGGAATAGGGAAATTTTCAGAATTCTATCGTAAGAATTAGCGATGCTGCTAAGTTCTTTGATGGATTCTCCGAATTGAGAGGTGATCGTGGGCTAATATCGTGAACGACAGGTGTTTTATGAATGAAAATTTCTCCATCTACGTTTGAACCTTTAAGAAATTCGAAGTTCGATTCTGGATCATTGGAATTGACCGCTTGCGCTTTCACTCCCGGAAGATTTACAGCCTAGCCTAACCTTGAAGGCTTCAAACCCGGAATTTATCTCCTCTTGAAAAGCGAGGATCTCGAGCTGATCTCGAAATGCAACGGAAAGAAAGATTGATCGCCTGGAGAGCTCGGTGAAACGAACGTGGCATGTTTTCGAATGCAAAAACATGCGTGAAGATTGGATTTTTAAACGAGTCCCGCAGTCGTTGAATTAATGAAGCGCGTGCATGGAAATTCGTGTCTGCAAATCAACAGGGGCAGAAAAGAAACGCGCGTGGAACGAAAAGTGTATTTTATCCAACGGATAAAAATCCACCGGAGCGAACGTTTATTCCCGGTACGCTTAAAAAAGAAAAAGAAAAAAGGAAACACCCATACGTGAAAAACATCGCGTTTCACGTCTCTCTGATAACGTTTCGTTGCCTATCTGGAAATTCATTCGACGCTAACGTGTACGAACTTAATTAAGGAAACAGGATAAAAAGCACCGGTTTATACGATCCTGGAGGGGGAGAAAAAAAAAACAGAAACATTCTGCATAAAGTCATAAAGAGAACTGAATTATACGTACAGGGTGTTTTAAGTTAATCCAGCGAAGACAAAAATAAAGAGAAACAAAGCGACCGCGATTTCTTTCGTCTCTCGACCACGCGCAATTCCACGGGCAATTAGGCGCCGCGTGATGCCAGAAATGGCGGTGCGCATTGTGCTCGTAATTTTAAAGGTAAACGCAGCCTCGCTGCCTCGGGAATTATCCTCGTTCGTCGTGGAATTCATTTCGATACGCCTCGAAAAAATGAAGGCCCCTTTTCCCTCATATGGTAAAAGTCTCTTAATTCGATGGAACCGTTTAGACGTAAAATAGAAACAATCGTTTCTCGGTCGCCGTGCGACCGAGGCACAAAACAGCCACTATAACTCCACTTATGCGCCTTCCATTATACCACTATGCTAATCGTTATTATGGCAGGTTGTTGCGTAACTGCAATTACCGTACCGCGAGAAGCAACGTTCTCCATTTGGACTCGTTGCACACGCGATCTATTGTACTTTTCGCTGTTTTAAGTTCTACAAACCTGCGTGCAAGGTGTCACGCGTCCTTTCTTCGTGTTTCTTTAAAGAAACGAAATAGGTGGAACGAGTAATTTTCTTTTTTTTTTTAAACGTCGTTCGAGGTTAGAAGAGGTAGAAGAAGATAGGTGGCGAGTAATTCTCTCGAGTGGACACGAGCTCTGTATTCGACGAATACGCGTTTCGAAAGCAGTTTTTCAGTGGACCGTGCAGAGACCGATCGTTTACGATACAATTGTTCGGAGGCAAATATCCGCGACTAATCGAAGTGTGTCATCCTGCGATTTATGATGTACAATGCTGTGCGTAAGCGGATCGCGCGCGGTCTGATTCTTCAAGGATTCGTCGTCGATGACGATTTTAGTGCCTCTTGATTACCGGTGTATTTTTCTTTCTATTGTACCTTCGGTAAATGTTTCGCTTCTATTAGATAGTAGGAGTTTTATATCGAAATTTAGATCTTTGAATTTTACGAGATGCAGAAGCTTGTCAATTTCTTCCCACTTTTTTCATAGGGGTTGTACCATTGCTGCGAAGCTTCTTTGGGTTTTCGTTCAAATAATTTTCGTTAACGTTTTCTGGTTCATATTTCATACTTGACACTAGGTTTACGGACATTTCTTGCATACCTGCACTATCGGCCATTCACCGAGCTTGCAATTTACCCAAAAATTTCCAGAAAAAAGTCAGCGACTTTGAGAATTTTTTATCATTCGAATCAATTGATGTGAGATAAATTGATAAATGTAGAATTGAGATAAACTTCAGATCTGTAAAAAATTAGCAGCAGATTTAATATTGATGAAAAGTGGGGGGTGATTCGAAACTTTTGGCCGGTGGTGCACCTCTACGGACACAACGAAACAGCATATTTTCTTTGAAAAGCAACTCGTTTTATTTGAACACAACGTATTACACACTATCAGCTTTTAAACGAAACTACGTGGTATTATAAATTTGTATAAAATTTACAATAAGCATAAGTGGTAGGGGAGATACCTAAACGGTTTCTGTAATTTTCCTAGTGAAATTCGAGATGCGTGAAAATGACGCGTCCCGTGAACCTAGTGTTAAGGATAATTCTAACACACGAAGTGCAATTTTGTCGAAAATCGTGGTTAAACTTTCTCGATCTGATTTCGGTGTTCAGGGTGCTAGATTCCGGGATACCTCGCAGCAAATCCACAAGCAATGGCAGGCAGATCCGGCACGAGCGTTTCCAACAGTTGGCACCGTCACCACCGGCTCAGTCTCTCCCACGTCGGGCGAAATTTCAACCCCGAATTCGACGCCCAGTCCGAGCCCTAGTCCCACCAACAGTCAACAAGTCTCGGTAAGTACCTCTGACCCTGTTATCGATTACCTCTTGCCCGTCAAACCGTTTCAAAGGCCACTAAATTTGATGCATGAATGAACGTGACCGAGATCGACGATTCAGAAAATACCGGTGTAACTTGCCGATGGTCAGTTAGAGTTTCCCGAAGCGGCAGTAGCGATAACGCATAGATACTTTTTCCATATGATTCACGACGAATTATATTTTATTCACGCATACTATTTTCAGTAATTTTGTTTTACGATATTACTCGATAATCAATTTCACAAATTTCAGCAATTTCTGTAACGATCTTAAAGATCTATTCAATTTCAGTTAATTAGGTTAGCAGTGTGTTAAAATTTAGAGAGTTTGACGGTCTGTTAGAAATATTTATTAAAAATGTACGGACTCTGGTAAAATGTTCTGTACTCTTTCTGACGATTAAGTACGAATTTTGAAAGGGTGTAGGAATGAAATTTTCAAGTTACACGGTAAAAAAGAAAGTGGAGGTGTATGCAAAGATTGTAGGAAGCAATCGGGTACAATGTTTCGAGCGATTCGATGAAAAAAAAAACGTTGTAACAGTGTTCGAGACGGTAAAAATCCTCGTTCCACCTCGGAACCAATAAGGTTTTATCTGCCCTATACACGAAACGACGAAATCTCGATATATATACACCCCTTCCGGGCGTAAATCTCGGGGATAGCTACGGGACGTGGATATAGGAACAGCGAATATCTTCTGAAACTCTCTGGGGATGTATCAACCGGCAGCCGGGATTCTCCCATACATGTGGGCCAGGGGTGTTGAGTTAGCACTTTCGTGTATTGTACTGGGTGTATCGTGAATCGGCCTTCAGTAACCACTTTTCCACATAATACGCAGAAATCTATAGAATTTCGAAGATCGTAAAATCCCTCAACAATACCGTGATTTCCTCTTTATTTCTCCGAATTTAATTCCTTCGTTGCTGCTGAATGAAAAATGTATCGTGAGGATTTTTAATATTAGTCTTTCTCAGATTTTTATTCTCCACTTTGCACAGAAATCTGCACAGATCGTCGAACTTAAAAATTGAAA